ATTCTATTCTATTCTATTCTATTCTATTCTATTCTATTCTATTCTATTCTATTCTATTCAACTTCAATATTCCTAACAGAAACCATGAAGCCCAAAATCAATTGGGCAAGTGTGGCTCAACCCTAAGACCACCTCCACCAAATCACAAAAAGAAATCATTACACCAATAGAAAGTGTGTTCAGTCCAGTATGCCAAGTAACAACTACATGCAAAACAGAGGACTTGAATAAGGAACTAAATCAATTCTTCTATTGTGGAAGTTTGTTGCACAGTCAGCCTAGATGTTCAGACAGGATTTGGGATTCTTGTCCACCTACTGTGTCTTTCTTAAGCACCAGGATAGGCAGATGGTGGCAGAGGCCTCGTTGCAGAATGTGAAATATTCTGAGTAAAGCTGCCTTTTACAATTGACTGATGGAGAATTCATCTTCTATTCTATACTCAATAACTCTTCTATTATTATTACCTTTATTGTTGTTGTTAGTAGTACAGCAACTACAACTGTTGTATTAACAGTAATTTTTATTTGCATGCAGATATTCCCCCCAGTAATAAAATGCAATTTACAATAAAAACAAAAGCCAAAATAACTTTGCCATAAAACAATAAAATCAACAGCATTTTATTTTATTTTATTTTATTAGATAAAATAAAAATTTAATAATTAAAACGTATGTTACTCAGCAATTGATTTGAAAACAATCTGGTAGTGGGGCAGTTGCTTTCCTGAAAACACTTGGGTGAAGCACCTCTTAAGCTTTCTTCTAAATGTAGGCATTATAGACTCAGCTGTATTTCCCTTGGAAGGAAGTTCCAAAATAGGAATACCACCCAAGAGGAGGCTACAAGCAAGAGTTTTCCAGCTAAACTTAGACTAACCTTCATCAATTAGATGTTAGATACGCTCAGGCTTTACCTAAAATTATAAGACAGCCAGCCAGACTAACCACTGAGCTGTAGCATCTCGTCTTCCTTGAGCACTTAGTCCATGTCAGTGGAGTAGTGAAGCTCTTCATCTATCACAGAGGTCTCCAACCCGCAGTCTGTGGACCGACACCAGGCCGCGGCTTGCCAGAAACCGGGCCGCACAAACAAGTGAAGCCTCATCTGTGGGATGGAGGCAGCATGTGAAACCACGCCCCCTCCTGTCTACAGAAAAACTTCACGGAACCAGTCCCTGGTGCCCAAAAGGTTGGGGGCCACTGGTCTATCGGCTAAATGGAGTGGCTATTTAAGAAGCAGAACTTCAATAGCAGAGTTCTTAGTCTACGTAATTAGTGGTCTTAGAACTTGAAAAAATATTGTTGGGTCAAGTATAATCCAATTTGCTTCATCCAGCCAGAAGCAATAATATACAGTCCAAGGAGGAATCCTCAACAGTCAGCTATAGAATATGGGTAAATATGGTAGTCCAGATACAGTAGTTCTCCACTTACAACCACAATTGGGCCTGGAATCTCAGTCATTAACTGAAGTGATCATTAAACAAGATACCATGTCTTCCTTCCCTTAATAACCACAATCCCGGCTCTCCTAATCCAGAATAGGACAACTCGCCACAACCAACTCGCCACGGCCAACTCATCATAGACAGAATGCCACAGGACAATTCAGCATGGGACAACCCGCTGTGGGACAATTCAATTTAATTATTTAAAGTAATTTAACAATTATTTTAACTTTTGTCATTCACATTTGATTTTGTCTCTCCCTTGACATCCTTTCTTTAATGATTCTATCTGATATTAGTGTATTCGATATTATATATGATATATGATATTCAATATTAGTGTAACTCTTGTTCTGAGGCGAGTTGTTCATGGCGAGTTGTTCTGCAGCTAGTTGGCCGCAGCAAATTGGCTGTGGTGAGTTGAGTGACCATATGGGTTGTTGAGCAGTGGGGAGAAGGCCTAGGCATGGTGAGGTAGAGAGAGGGCCCAAGCCCCCCATCACACTCTGGAGGTCAGGGCTATCTCTCCGCCCCAGTGGGGAAAATGATTACGAGAAAAATGGCACGCACTAGCATTTTCACCAGATTTGAGGTCCATTCCTCCAATGGCTCTAGTACTTGCTTAGCAAACACCACTGCTCTGGAAGGCTCAGAGAGCTGGTATTCAATAGTTTTCCATCCAAAGGGGTGGGAGACAATGATGTTCACTAAAACACCAGTGAATGCCAGGATTCTAAAAGGCTCCAGATGCTGGTATTTGCTAGCATTTTAGCGAACGTCATTGTCTACATCCCTCTGGAGGGGAAAATGCTAGTGAACGCCTGCGTTTTGAAAGGCTCAGAACCCTGGCATTTGGTAGTGGTTTTGTCAGATTTGAAGTCTGTTCCACCATTACACAGGAGGATTTCACCACTGTACATGGAGGAAGGGGAAATATCTTGGCACCTTGGGGGAATGGACTTCAAATCCAACATCCCCTCCACTTTTCCAAACCTTTTCTGCCAAATTCCCCATTGAGTCTCAGGGGAAGTTGGCAAAGAAGACTGCAAATGGGGACCACACGATCAAAATGAACTTGACAACCAGTTTTAAATGTGAACCTGTAGTAGGAGGAGTGGCAGAACCTGAGGGCAGAGTTAAAAGAGGGATCAGTCTAGAATCCCTAAGTAGTCACAAGCAAACTAAGTCCACCGTCCCTTAAATTCTGTTGACTCTTATCTAACCCCAAGCAGATGTTAACAGTTGAAAAAATTCTTGTGCATAGGTATGATTAGCAATAAATCAATTTAATTAGATCTTCCTGTGTGGACCTGATCTTTCATGCCTGATAGAACCAGTTGCCAAGTGATCAAAATTCACTCGTGTGATGGTGGTGGGCAGTGCAACATTTTACAGCCATAAATGCTTTATGGGCCATAAAGCACCATGAGACCATCATGACTGGTTGTAAGTTGCAAGCTACCTGTTGCAAGCTACTTTGTTCTTGAATTCCTGGACATGATATTGTGCTTGTGATGACTGTAGATAACAAGCTATGTTTGGTAGCTGAAAAAGCAAGAAGGGTAGGTGCCATGGAGAAGGAACAAACATGGAGGAGAACCATGTCAAACTCAACAATGTTTAGAGCTGTTCCTAGCCCTGTTGCTCTTGGACTGTGACCTGAATAATTTCAACCCCATTTACAATCTTAAATATTAATAATCAAAAGAAGAGGATGTAATACTGGTTTGGACAGCAGAGGGCAATCTCAATGAAGAATCTGATGGAGAATCAGATTACAGTAGTGCAGTTTTAGTGCGAAGATGAAGAACTGACCAGGGCCAGGGCGATTGAAGGCTCTTTACCCCTATCAAATCTAATTTTAATAATAATTGTTTAGATCAGATCTCTGCCACTGGGGGGGGGGAGGTATCTGAAAGTACAAGATCACAACTCCTAAAATTCAAAGTTGGCATACTTTTGGGATTTATCTGGGAATAAGTCAAAAGGAGACTTCCTTTTTTGTCTCTAGCATCTGAAATCATATGCAAAAAGGACAGATCAAGGCCCTGCTACTCCAGCATCCCGAATGTCACAGGGACCAGCCTGACGGCTACAAGGATGAGAAGAAATAACCTTGTGCTGTGCTGGCCCCCATATTCAATAGCATGCAGCCTCTGAACATGGGTAGTTCCATGAAAACACAATGATTAATGGCCATTGGTAAATGCACAGAGACAAGCTCTTTTGAATCTGCTTTAAAGCCATCTAAGTGATTGGCCTTCACCACCATTTTGTGGCAATAAAATTCATCAGTGCACACACTGGGCAAGGAGGCCTGTCCTTCAGCATGCCTCAAATCTCATCCCCGTCCATTTAATTGGATGGCCATAATTCTAGCATGACGTGAGAGGGGTAAAAACTTCTTCTCCCCCCTCCTCACCCCCCCTTTTTCCTCACATCCAATTGTATTAGTTGGTTTCAAACGCAATATTATATGAGAAAGAAAAGAAAGGCTGTAAACTCTCTTGGCATCCATTTTTTTTTTTTTTTAAATTAGTTTCTCCTATTAACAGGTTTCCTAACTTAAAAGTAGGCAACATGCAGCCATTCAGATGGGGAATCATGAGAGATTATATGTACTATAAAATCTGGAGGGCTTCACGTCTACTTCAATTTCATCTATCAGTTAATTTTCATTTCTAAATATCTTTTAGATACGAGAAGACAAGAATACAGCACTTGGATAATTCAACAGTTATTGCGGTGCTATTTATCTTCTGTCCTTTTCAATCTCTTTAAAGCCAAAATGTTTTTTTTTTTAACCACTGCTACCAACAAATTGACAAATTCAATTAATTTGCCCTATTATGATCTTGTCCCAAGACAGTCATAAGAATGAAAAAGGCTCGTCTAGTTCAAAATTTTGTTCCTGTAGAGTTGAACCAGATGCTTTTGCAACGCAATGGTACTTTGTGCCATTTCCTCCAGCAATTGACAGCTTGGCAGCTTCTGCTTCTTACTGGAAATAACATGCAGCTGCCATGGCTAAAGGTAGTTCTCAACTTGCAACCATTCATTTAGTGAAGTTACAACAGCACTGAAAAAAAGTGACTTACAACTGGTCCTTGCACTTATGACTGTCATTGCATCACCACAGTCACCTAGTCAAAGTTTAGTTGCCTGACAGCCAGCATGTATTTAGGACAATGTCCTGAGATCATGGGATGACCATTGCAACCTTCCCAACAGGAGAAGCCAGATTCGCTTAATGACCGCATAATTAACTTAACATTGACAGTGATTTGCTTAACAACAAAGGCAAAACAGTTCACAAAAATAAGGCATGACTCGTTTAACAACTCTTGCTTAGCAACAGAAATTCTGGTCCCAGCTGTGATCATAAGTCAAGGACTATCTGTATAGCCATTGAAGCTTTATTCTCATAAAGCAAGGATACAATAAAGAGCATTAGTATCGCCCATAGTATTTTTGTACAAGTAGTGGGCCACATGCAGTCCCCCGATGTCCTTTGCGTGGCCTTAAGAGCCAGCAAGGCAAAAGTCCCATTTTCTCATCACAAGCAAGAACTCCGAGACCCTGACAAACAATGAAAGTAGAGGTTCTCTTTTGGGGTGAAAAAAATGGCTTCTCCTTTGATCCGTTTAGACCAGGGGTGTCAAACTCACCTCATCATGGTGGTGTCACGTGACATAGTGGGACTTTCCCCCCCTCCCTTCGCTAAATGGGGTGTGGCCATGGCCATGTGTGATGCATTCGGCCCAAGGGCTGGGAGTTTGACAGCCCTGATTTAGATAGTTATTAATTCCAGTCTGCATTTAGTTACGTTCAGCACATAGTGCGTTCAAGCAAGGTTTAACATGGTGCTAGGTATTTATGTAGATAAGCATGCGCTGCAGACTGATTTGACAACTCTCTGCATTCTGTTTTTCCAGTTAGGCAAAAGGAACATTATCCTGGAAAATATGGCTAGAAAATGAGTAGATAAAGAAAACAAAGTAAAGGTTACAAGGGTCAGGGAAGCAGAGAACTTCAGTTTAAAAAAAAAACACAGCTTCTTTAAATCTAGTGATGTGGTAACTCATTTATGGAACGATACAGGACTTTATTATTAAGGGTACCAAATATTTCAATGAATTCTTACATTCAGAAAACTGTAATCTAAATCAGCATTCCCTTATTACAGGTAAACAACTACCGTAGTAATAATCTAAGCAAGTTCATGGCTCAAACTGAATCCAACACTGCAACCACCAAGTTACTATGAAGTGCGATGTGCTTACAAATTCTGGTGGCTGCCCTTAATACGCTCAAGTAACACCACAGATGTTCAAGAAAGTTTAAAAATTCATAGGTAAGTTGCAACGAAAGGAAGATCTGTTAGCACCTGCCAAAAGCTGAAAAGCTGTATTCTGTTTTCAGGAAGTTCTCAGTCTTCCTGGTTGCAGAATAATAGTAAGAGGGATAAAAATACGACTATAAAAGATGTGGTTCTCACCGAGGTATTCTGGCACTGCACACTGCTGGAGTTGAAGCGTACAGCTGGCACCCGCTGCTGGCGACCTTGGATTCCCAAGACACATTCGTAATTCTTCTGGCCCGACTGAGGTTGTGGAAGGTTCTTGGCACGCAGGGTAATGGGTTGTAACACTCCCACAGGAATCAAGATCTCCCCACCAGGAAGGAGCTCTGGGCAGCCCTGGTGCAAAGGAAAAGATTCAAGCCACGTGTGCTCAGAAACCCGAAAGCTTTGGCAAGTGCCACTTGGGCTGTTCGCAGGCAGGCGTGTGTGTGTTTGTTTATGACATGAATATTCTCAAGGCAGGACTGCAAAGGGGAATGGGTTCTAAACCCAAAACTGAGGCTGGCACTGCTTTCAAAGTAGCCGTAAGGGAAGATGACACACACTAAAAAACAACAACAGTCTGATCCTACCCATGCTTACCAGAATGAAGTACATTGACTAAAGCGATATTGCTTTCCTTTTTTTTTTTTTTTTAGGACTATCATTTGGATTCCTGTGTGAAGACACCTATAATCATTCTTGGGGACAGGAAACAAGACTTTCCCTCCTGGGGACTAAGGTTCCTTCTCCCCCGGGGGAAACAGCTGCCTAACCTTTCATATCCCAACCGCACCACAGTGAACAGGGGTAAAGCCCAGGAGTCTGGCTCCCGGCTCTTCCTTTGCCTGTGGTGGCCGCCTGAGAGAGATGGAGATGAAAGAGCCTGCTGGGCGCTCAGAGTTTCCATGGAAACCAGAGTCTGGTTAATTGCTCCTTGGTACCAAAGGAAAGGTGGGAGGGGGGGAGGCCTGCTGGGCTGGCTGCTCTGTTTACGGGGCTAGCAAAGACACAGGGTGGCCATGACGCTGTCAAGCAATACAGGAAGCGTAGTCCTGACCTGGAGAACAATTAAACCCCGGGTGCAACTTCCTAAGGAGGCTTAAGACAATTGGGTCAAGACAAAAGGCCCAGCCTGTGGGAAGAGGAGCCTGGAAGCGCCAAGAAATTTTCTCTTCTTGCTCTTTCATTCTTTAGACTGAAAACAAAGTCCACACCGACTGATTTAGAAGTCTGGAGCACAAACAGTTTGGCCAGTGCTCCCTAACCCAAGAGTCACAGGCAACATACCACTTCCCAGAGCCTCAAAGCCTGCTGCCCAGCCTCCTCCTACTCCAGCCACCACATCCAACCGCAAACGCTGGCCCCTCTAAGGGAGATGCTATCAATTACCTACCCACAACGAGCCCCGGGCGTCTCTAGGTCTATTGATCCCGCTGCCTGGGCCAGACGATTGATCGCGAGCCACTGGCCCCATTACCAGCGAACACTCTGGCCTCCCCCATATCGATCCAGCCTCCCACCCGAATAAAGGCACTTTAGTACTATTATCATTTCCCCATGCTGTTGATCTGCCACCTGCTGACTCTTCTCCGATTGCTTGGGATTCCCTGGTCTGAGATTCCTTCTATACAAGGCCTGTGGGGGACGCTGCGCGTAAAAGGGTAAACCTAAATATGTGACTTCCAGAAGTCTTTCCTTTTCAGTCTGCTAGTGGAACCAAGTTTCTAAAACTCAGTGTTATGAAAACATATTGTGATGTTGCCAGAGTTGGAAGACAGAGTTTTAAAGGAAAGAGAGAACTGCTATGCCCTATGTTGAATGTTCCTTTCTCGTGATTCTTATTTTTTGCCAAATCCTCCACTTCTGCTTTTTTTCTCTCCCTTTTTACCCTATACGGTGCTCAGCAAAGCAATTTGAGCTCTGCACAGGGTCAAAATATTGCAAAGATATGGTGAAAAATATTCCAGTTTAAACGTATGCAAGCAGTTGCACAACTTGCATTAACATAGAAATGGAAACTTGGCTCCCAAATGTTTGCTCCAATGCTGGAAGAGCAGGCTATGAAATACCGCAGCTATTTCTGCTGTTATGCAGAAACAGGGAGCTCTTGAAATGCAAGGAAGGAAGTTGAGCTGGGAAGAGGAATAGGATTCCAGGCCCATGGGGAAATCTCCCTCCCGACTCCCTCTGTCCTGCAGGTCAGCAGGGGGAATAAAACTGCCCTTGATTTCCCCAGGGGTAAAGGTTTCACAAACAAAAGATGTTCATGGGTCTTCATGTCCAAAAATCATCCTAATGGCTGTCAGGAAACTCTCTTGAGATGGTAGCGCTCCAGTGGCCTTTCTTACCTCAGCAGTGTTGACTCGGCCCTCTAGGAAGAAGCACTTGGCCACATTGTGGGTGCACGTATGCCTGTATTTACACCAGTGGCATGGATAGTGGCTGCTGACACAGGACAAGCACCTGTAGAATGAGGAAAATTTAAAATTTAAAAAACAGGAAAGGGGGAAAGAATGCATGTCCTGATCTACAGATGCCAATTCTCTCTTCTCTTGTTTCCTTCACCTTTATTCCTTTGAAGGTTTTGTTCTGCTTAAGGATATGAAACTCATGGGAAGGAAAGGGAGGAAGTGAAACACAGATTGAATTGGATCTTCAAATCTTATCCAACCCATCTGCTTGCTGTGGAGACAAGGCCCAGAGGGAGGCAAACTTAAACTACAGCCACCTACTGACTAGCTGGTTTAAGCTAGGAGAGCCTCAAAACTGAGAGAGGAAGTTGTCTACAAGGTGTGTGGCATTTCCTACTTTACATAACACTGAGGGAGAAGTACAGCATGCTCTGAGCGGAAAACCTATGTCAGCAAAGCTGGAAGGGTGCAGATACATCAGACCTTGTTTCTGATAAGAAGAATATAAGTCTGGCTCAGGCAGCCATGGCCTGTGGCTTGAAAAAGGCCTTGCCAACTCATATCAGTCCTAGTTAAAAAAATGTTTACTCAGTCTCAAGAAGGAAACACTTTTAGGACTGAGTCAGGCCTCCAACATTGATGACTTCTTCTGGGACTAAAATCAAGAAATCTTTTGCCTCTTCTTCCAAACTTCCCTTAGGAAATAAATGAGATTGCAATCTCCCTGAGCAAGGACTTCATTGATTAATTGTTTATATTTCTAAGGCCTCCCGATTCATCAACAACTCTGAGTGGTGCAAAACATCAAGTCAGACAGAAATGTAAGAAGGCTGTCCAGGGGAACAAACATCCACTGAATGCCCATAAAGAATTTTCCACAGAAGCAGCCCACTTTCCATCCCAGATGAGAGTTTGGGGGAAATGCCAGATCAGAACACGTATAAAGCAGAGCAGAGCCGGGACTATTCAAATCTCTAGGGCATGGTTTCTCAACCTTGGTATTGTTAACATATGTGGATTCAACTCTAGGAGACGCTACTCTAAGAGAACTATGTTCCAGAAGATGGGCTCAACAAACTTCCTAGATCCTATCAGATGACATTGATTAATGGAAGGGACCCAGAGTATCCTGATTCTGTCCGAGCTCATGGGATGGGCAAAAACAATGGGAGAGTGAACCCCTCAAATAAATAATACCTTTGTCATGTAGGGCTGACACCTAACATCTTGAATTGCACTTGGAAGTCTGCTAATAATCACTGCAGCTTGCAGAGCAAAGGTGTTATGCAGGCGTACTGTGGCACATTCATAATTGCTTATTCCACTATGTTCTGCACCAGCTAAAGGTTATAAGTGGTCTTCAAGGTCAGTTGCATGTATAGGGCACTGCAAAGTCCACATATAAGTTGACCAAAGAACAAGTGACAATGAGAAGGTCCAAGAATGGGTACAATTAATAGATGAGATGAATCTGTGTGAAGGCCTTCTTGGCTATAGTTGCCATCTCCTCCTCAATCTGCAAGTCCAGGAGAACCTCCAAACTGCATACCAGTTCTAACTGGGGAAGTAAACCCCATTCAAAATTAAAAATAGGAAGTCCTCAGGCCTGGATGATCCATGAACCCATTAGCTAAGGTCAAGCTTAAGTCCATTCCTCCCCATCTGGACCTTAATAGCTTCCGGGCACTGGGACAAGACCTTCAACTGCATCATTTGGTTGGCAAAGACTTGAGAACCAGCTGGGCATCATCATACACTGATTATAACTGACCCCATGTCAACAAATGACTCACACAGTGACTTCACATAGTTATTAAGCAGGGAGGATGTGACACTCTACAAATCAAAGAGGTTTCAGCCTCTGCTTTCCAGGCAACACTTATTGGAACCAGTCACGAGAAAAGAGAACAACCACAACATATCAACGGTAATTGGCCTCATTTGAGGCAGGGATATAGATGGGCAGTTGAACAGATGGCCCTGGGATGCAGCCGTAACAATCGGGAGCTGAAGATGCTTAAAACTGTAGAGATGAGAGTGAATTTTAGGAGGAGCCCTCCTATTTTACCTCCTCTTACTATATTCAACAGCATGG